AGATAGATAGATAGATAGATAGAAAGATAGATAAATAGATAGATAGATAGATAGATAGATAGATAGATAGATAGATAGAACCCATGTCGTTAATTACGTTGTTCCAGATATTACAGTACAATTAACGGAAAGACCCTCGGCGACATTTGGAGAGAGCAACGGAGCATCAATGGACATGTCCGGAATGCAGGGGTGTTGTTTCCTGAAAGAATGAACAATGAATGATGGTACAGTACATGAGGGAAGAACCGAGGACAGCCACATGTAGAAATGTTATCAGTATTAACATTATCATTCATGGTACAAATGGTCGCTTTTAAACACAAGGGGGCTGTCCCGAAAAATGCTGTTTTGAGAAAATCAAAGGGAAAGTTTTTGCACCCTTGTTCAGTTTCTTTAAAAGACAAGGAGAGTTTTCTCTATAACCAAACAAATATACACACCAATGAAACCAAACTGCTCTTTTAGGTAGGACAATGCCCACTTTTGGTGTAGGTCAAGATCTCTAGAAACCCCCGAAATCTGAGTTAGCCCGCTTGTTCTTAAAATCGATCAAATGTAACATAAGGAATAGTCTAGGGTTGGTTTTGTTAACTCATGGAAGACGCACATTGTGGTCATTCGACAGCGCATGAATAAGTGATGCTTGGGGGTAGATCTATAATTTCGTCATTCAAACAGGTCTTTCGATTTTGTTTTCTTTACCCAAAACTTTAAAAGGCATTCAACAATATACAAACTATCTAAGGAAATGAGCAAACTCATGTTTCTGATTTGTGTATGATGTTTCGAAATGTGCCGAAACGTTGCTGTTTGTTGCTCTGCTGCTGATCAGACGTGTGTGTCTGCTTCGTTCCTAAAGAGTTAAAGCGCATTGACACCAATCCGATGCGTTTACCTCCTCTGAGGGACTTTATGACGATTGTCTCGTCTCATTTTCGTACCACGCTACCACACGATTCGAATTCTACAGAGTAATCTCTTTTTTGGTTTTCTGGGTCATCGTTGGATGCGATTATAAGCCGGGGGGATAGCTCTCGAGATATTAAAGGTACATTTCTTAACTCTTTGACGTCGCGCATCTTGGAAATCAAAACGCTTAATAAGACATGCGGTTTTGGGGCGCTTAAAAAAAAGCATAACATTGTTATTCATAGAGTTTTCCATTTTGTTTTGAAATGACCAGGAATAAAAGGAACACAACGAAATGTAACTCATGTTCCCAGTTTGTGCAGGATGGTTCAAAAACGTGCCATGACTTTGCCTTTGGCGTACTACTGATCTGGCGTATTTGTCCGAACGTCTTCAAAGAGTTAAGGAAATTTTTGGCAATGGGTTTCTTAAACTCAATAGATGCGTGCGATTCCTAAAGCGCCCCAGTCTTTATTCCCAGGATAAGGCGTCTCAAAGCTTTTTTTTTTTCCTCAGGTGGGCTGGATAACTAAGAAGAGCTCGAGGGCAGGCCGGTTTTGATTTTTTCAATACAGTTCTCTGGATACATAAAAAAAGAAAAAACCAAGCCTATTGATTTATCAACACACACACACACACACACACACACACACACACACACACACACACACACACACACACACACACACACACACAC